ATGAATTCCCAAAACCATAAACAGTACCATACCCATTTATCTTTATCAACATCACCCAATTCCTGAACACTGGTGATCTTGTAGGGATGAAGATTCTCTTTCTTTGCAGCCCATTGACACGTTGAATAAGAATACCCAGTTTCCTGGCTTAGACGTAACGATTTCTTGGTAGACTGCAGTTACCTGTCCCGCACACTTGCATTTTTTTCTTCTGGCACGGTTTTTACCACGTTCACTTAAAAGTGCCCCTGTCCTTTGCAATTTCTGAGCCAAGGACTGTATAGTCAATTTCGCTGGCTTCTTGCGAACTCCAAACTTCCTCCTGAATTCCAGTTGTGTGTTTGCAATTGAGCCTGTCACCCAGTACGTGCGCACAAGAAACGCTTTCTGTTCAACAGTGTACTCCACGACTGTCGCCTGAGCACTGCAGACACATTTTGGGATTGCCCTTGACCTTGCAGCATAAGGTCTGCCACTTGCCAGATCATGCACACACCATTCGACTCAGCATGGCCCACGGTTTATTATGTCGTAACTGAGCGGTTATATGCGCGACCTGTGGAATTATTAGGAAATTCATCAGGCCGGTTCTATACAATTCACCCTGTAGTTCTTTACTCTGCTACATTAGTTGCTCTGCAGAATAATTATTAATAATTCTGATTTCATAGTTATATAGGACTTACATTAAATTTGCAATTTGTTTGGCTCCCTTCCCCACCCATTTCTTTATTATCTTACATTTTCATTAATCCAAGAACGTGTTGGTTCCCCTTGGGTCATGTAATCAAGACTGCACTGTGTATGTATGAATAGCACGGTCCAAGCATACTAGGACATACATGTTTCTGCATTTGGGCTCTCTTACCAGAGTGAGGAGTATCTTTCACTATCACAGCAACAGTTCTGGTTGTTCCTCATGTGTACATTATCATGAAGCCATTAATTTAATCACATCTACAGTCTGGATAAGAAAGTGATACTTGGAAATAAATTTTTCCTCTGTTCTAAGCATACAAGCAGTTGGCCACCTGTGCACACTGTGTTTTCAGGCAACTATATGAACCAGTCTTTCTTGAGAAACTGTATCTGTATCTACATATATATCTTTGTTTTATTTCCACAGATCCCTACTGGCTTATCAAAGCCATAAGATATGGAACATGTCACATATGAATACATAGTTCTGTGCACAGAATTCGTCACTTTACAACTACATTCAATAAGGAAACAATACTTGTACATAATTCAGTAATTTAACAAGCATACAGGACTCATCAACTCAATAGTAATACCTTATTAAAAACATAGCTTAAAAGTTATAAGCAAATATCAGATTATAATTAATTTATTTATACAATGTACTATATAAACAGCATTATAAAAAATTCTTCTTATGTTTAAAATATTCATCTCATGTATAAGAGACAATTTTTCAAGGCTGATTTAAATTGTTTTGAATTGAGGGCAAATCCTTTATTGGAACAAGTAAACTGTTAAACATCTTAATCCCATTATAATATGTTCCCTTCTGAAAACTGACAAATGAGATGGTAAGAGATCCAGATCAGATTTAGTCCTAGTATTAATATTATGTATCTCAGAATTTACTTTAAAATTATGTTTATTATTTATCACAAACAATGAAAGTGAATATATATACTGAAACTGTAGTGGTAATATTTTTAGTTCTCTAAAATATTCTCTGCATGACTCTCTATCTGTGATCCACACCATAATTCTAATATTTTTTTGGTAGTCTAAAAATTATATTGCTGTAATAAGAGTTTTCTCAAAATATTAGTTCAGAATTCATGATAGATAATATTTTGCAGTATTGTTTATAGTACTTTCTTAAGTTAGTGTCATTAGTGCCCTACTACTTAAATAAAGCTCTCTTTTGTGCTGACATGAAATCTTTATATCTCATGTTATCCAGGAATTATATTTAGTTTTTATCTTAACTTGTCCTCCTCCCCCCCCAGAAAATTAGAGTAGACACTTCTTAGATAAATATTATGAAAGGAGTTGAATATTGTATGAACATTCTGATCACAAAAAATATTGTCCCAAGTTTCATAACATAATTGAGTCAAAAACTGATTCATAGAGAACTTAAAATTTCTTTGCTGATTGGGTGCAACTGTTATATGTTTATAAGTTAATGTTATTTATATACATAATCTCGCCATCATCAGACAGACCATTAACCGGTGGACTTATGGTATAATTTTCACTTCACCTACTATCAATAAAAATATTGTCAATAGCAGAGATTGAATTATTTTGGATTCTAGTAGGAAATTGCACTGTACAAAAGAGGCTAAAAGAAGATATCAAGGTGTCTAATTGTTATTTCATATTATTGTCAAAAAGATAGTTTACATTAATATTGCCACAGATAATAAGTTCTAGATTAATACTGTGCAGGGATTTTAAAATGGCATCTAAGCCATTTAGGAAATATGAAAATTTGCCAGACAGAGCTGTATAAATGGGTAGAATACAGATATTGCCAAGTGGGGATTTAAGTTTAACTGCACATACTTCTAAGTCTTGCTCTTTGCAAAATTTGTTAACATTTGAAATTTTTCATTTTTTGTATGCAAAAGTACATACTCCACCTTCTCTAAGAGTTTGTTCACAATATTCAGCACCAAGATTGTAATGCTCTGTGAAAGTGTGATCTAAATCCCGGGAATCTAAGTGATGTTCCATTAAACATAGATGTGGCAGTTCAGGATACAAAGAACTTATGAACTTGTTTGTTTTGCCAGGTAAGTCCCTAATATTTTAACGAATGAGGGATTATCAGAGGAGTATAGTAAAAATCTGTTATCATAGGACTGCGAGTTGATTCTCAAAGANGCACATATCAGTCTCTGGTGTTTATAGCTTCAGAGCAAACAAAACACATCATTCATAACAGAAACAGCTCGCAATAGCCACAGGAACGTTGCTGCAAGACAGGCATATGTAACGACGACTTAGCGCTCTTAAACGCGTGTGTCATTAAATACAGTCCTCCTGACAACAGGCCAGTGAAAAATCTAACAATCTACAGCAAAACCATCAATTATTATGGGCGTTATAACATACGTGTGCAGCTGGACGAAACATACACGTCGAACCCCCCCAGACGATTTAAATCCCTGACGAAACATACACGACGAACCACGGCAACGGGTTAATCTGTCTAAACTGTTAGTCCTGAAGTCACAGGCAAAACCAGAAGTCTGTCTCACCATAAAAAAATCCTCATTTCTTGTCATTTGTCTGGTCAAGAAACACTCCACCTTTCATTGGACTCAATCATGTTGAAAATGTCATGTCACTGGACTATATTCTGAGCCAGATGCATCCAATCTGCACCTTCACATGCAATTTCGTTAAAAACCGTCTTAATATTATGCTCCCATTTATGCAGAGGTATATGAAGAGTACCCTTCCTTCGGGTTTTTCAGCCTTTATTTGGAATGTCTCCCTTCCCTGTTATTATATCCCACTCATCTCAGCTATTTGATACTTATAAATTGTACAAAAAATATGTGTTTAGAAATAACAGAGTGAAATACGAAGTTATGAAAGCTCCTACAGCTTATCCCACAAAGTGCACAAAGAATCGAGAAATATTACGTAGAGCAGTCAAAAAGTTCCCGGAATTCCCCTGCAGATGGAGAGCAAGCGATAAGATAGCACACACACTGTTGTGGTAGGGAGCTTAGCATGTCTGCTCGCAGGCACAACAGATCTGGACAGGTTTCAATGTGCAGTGTTCTTACTGTTCCGTTTGAATTAGACGTGAGTGTTGGTCATTTGGTGCGATGTCACAGTTCGAACAGCATGCGAACATCAAGTTCATGTGCAAGTTGGGAAAATATGCTTCAGAGACGCAGTCGGCCCTGCAGCAAGTTTACAGTGATACTGCACTAAAGAAATCCACAGTTTACAACTGGTTTTTCCTGGTTTAAGAATGGGCAGGAGACATTAGAGGATGAGAGCAGCGGGAGACCTTTGACATCTGGAACTGAAGAAATGATTGGAAAAGTGCTACAACTGATTCGATGTGATCAAAGAATGACCATCGCCTAGTTGGAGAAAGAAGTTGATTTCTCTCATGGATCCATCCATGCCATTTTGTCCGATGATTTGAAGATGAGACGCGTCAGTGCAAAGTTTGTTCCAAGGCAGCTGACCACGGATCAGATGGAATGTCGCATGATGGTCGCTGGCAATCTGTTTGACAAAAGTACGCAGGACCCGACGTTTCTCAAAAAGATCGCCACTCTTGATGAGTCATTGGTGTTCGCCTGTCACCTGGAGACAAGGATGAAGTCATGAGAGTAGCACACACTGTCGTCTCCCCGGCCAAAAAAATCATGCCTTGTCAGATCCAAAGACAAAGTGATGTTCATTGCATTCTCTGACGTCAATGGTTTGGTGCACCATGAGTTCATACCACCTGGACAGACTGTTACTGGCCATTTCTATGTGCAAGTTTTGCAGAGGTTGCGCGATGCCATTCGTTGGAAGCGGCATGACATGTGGCAGGGACAGTGGTTTCTGCATCATAATAACGCACCGAGCCACACATTGCTTGTTGTGCAGCAATTCCTTGCCGAGAAAAACGTTCGTGTCATCACGCAACCACCGTACTCTCCAGATCTCGCTCCAAGTGACTTTTGGCCATTCCCTACTCTGAAAATAGGCCTCAGTGGGACACGTTTCGCAACTGTGGAGGACATCAAATCGAATGTGACAGCTGAGCTCCAGAAGATTCCAAAAGAAGCCTTCCACCACTGCTTCCAACAAAGGCAGGATCGATGGAGCAAGTGTGTGTGCACGCAAGGGTCCTACTTTGAAGGTAAGCGTTGCCGTATGTCCTACCATTAGAGTGCTATACCACCATTCCGGGAACTTTTTGGCTGTCCCTCGTATATTAATGTTAGAATGTGCCTATAACATGCAATGGCTGCAATGTGAGTTTTGATATTCCGCAGGCCCTTCTTCCTGGTACAAACACAAGTCAGGAAGCCAGACTGAATCCTGAAACAGGAGCTACTGAATTGGTTTATCTTGAGGAAGAGGATGATGATGAGGATGAAGAAGTTCTTTTGGGTAGGGTTCCAGATGACACCACAGTACTTCAGGAATGTATTACAGCATCACAAGGGTGCTTACTCTTGTTAGTCCTCAAACAGCATCTAAAAGATCTATATGGCATTAGTGATGCGTAAGTATGAACTTAACAAATACACTGTAAGAGTGATGGCTTATAATGAGAATTTAATTGTAGTGAGGAGAAGGTAACAGATTTTCAGTTTCTTAATGTTAGATATGTTGGAAAATCTGGTATGTAATGGGCATTTTTCCAGCACCCTTTTCGTAAGAGTGATTCATAGCCAGCTATTACATTCTGAAACATTTTGCAGATTTGTCTTCCAGATTGGTACTGCATAATGACACTGTTAAACAATGCTCTTTGCCTCTTTCATATCTGGGAGACTAAAGTCTGTATTCCAGTGTCAGAGTACCATATGCCTGAATACAGGATTTAGGTGGCCTTACAGTCTTCTGACATAAGTTGGTGATTGACAGTTGTGATTTTTTTGTTCTGCTGTGTCCTTATTGTGCCAGTGAAATTGAAGTCTAATACATTTGTATGATGCTGCCTTCCATCTGCAATATAGGAAAACTGTATAGATTTACTTGTGTTGTCATTGTTCCCCACTGAAAAGTGGCTTGCTCCAAGCTTTCCGTCTGCTTTTACCCTCAATTGTAACAGGCAGATGATGCCACTTTTGTCTCACCACGTCTGCTGTTGTGTTTACAATGCTCCCAAGATGTTTGGTTGTTCAAGAATAAACACATGGGATAAATACAAGAGGAGCACCAAGATAATATTAAACAGGATACAGTAGCTTCAGCTCTCTCCTTGCTTCACATAAATAATAGCAAATGAAAGAAACGGTTTCAAAAACAAAATTGAATATCATTGAAAATAATTAACAAGAAGCATGATTCAAAAGCATGGCCTCAGTCTATAATAAAAATGTGAAATGGAGCCATAGGACAGTAACTCAGAATTGCAGTGAGAAGCTTAAACAAAGGTGAAAAATGGCAGAATGCATGTCACATTATTCAGTGAGCTAACGTAGTCATCAGACCAGTTAAACATTAGAACCTCCAATAGCATGGAGATCCATAATGGAGTTAGTATGGCATGAAATATCAGCATGTGGGTAACCAATAAGAAATCTGAGTATCATAATCCAGTTGTAACAGCACAGATTTCCATGAACTGTGGGCAGATGTTATGATTGGTTGACTACAACAAATCCATGACAGATTAATACGTACTTAGAGCATAAATACTACATACAACTCTTTTAGACTTGGCTGACGTGCAACTTACACACATGTAGTAACTGCAGGCCTATGTCATACAAGGTAGTACCCAAAGATGCACCAAGAAACGTGATTGGTATGACAGTCAGTTCGGCTTCAGACAGCAATCCAAAATGGCGCGTGCTCACAAAAGAAAAGTAACATCCAACAAATACTTCATTGTATATTTAGGTACAAGACTTCCTTAAATACACATACACAGAATGTGGCAAAGGCTCCTGCATTTACACACTGCATACATCAGGAGGATACAAACAGAACTTTTGAATGAATGAATGTATGAGGGATAGGCCCTCTCGGCCCTTGAACCGCGACCTCAGTGGTCTATTGTGCTTCCCCTTTTTTAATTATTCCCTCAGCAACCCCACGCTTTGAATGAAGCGCAAGATTTTGGACGTGGGGGCATCAAAATAGTCACTTGGTTCTGTAAAGTATTGACCCAAGTGACATAGTCTTAAATAAGCTAAACAGAACTTTTAATATGTCCATCTGCCAAGAGTTCCAGCAGCTGAGATAACTTCCCTCACATTCAGTCACACAAGTTTGGAACCGAAAGGGAAGGGAGGATGCTGATTGGTTGTGGGCTAAGTTGTGTGTCATGAAGATAACTCATCATAGGCCACAATGGGGGAAGGAAGTACATGACATAGTGTGAAGCACAGCTGGACAGAATGAGAGGGTACAGTAAAACAGAAACAATCTGACCCAGAAGCAGAGCTGGAGGCAATCAGCTGGCTTACCATTTTGAAGACAAAATATGGTCACCTATTCTGTGTGACAGAAAACCAGAGACACAGAAACAAATATGGAATACAGAGAATGAAGATTTGGATTGCTGGACCTTTGAACTACGAAGAAGCTGACTGTTTTGCAGCACACTTAGAGGTCAAGAACGTTCCGTGTGCTTTGCATTTTCAGTAGAGGGAAAGGCACACAAAATAGTCCAGTGAATCTGCTTGTGTTTCGAACTGATGCTTGAGGAATATTTGGAAAGTAAGGATACAAGTGCAGTAAAAATGCAAGGGAAATACTTTTCCTCATAAATGGCATTGCTGCCATGTGAGACAGGAACCGCATGACAGATCAGAGTTCACTGGCCACAGTCATGGCAACGTTGTGCTTTCAGTATGTGTTTAAAATGGCCATGTCAATTCAAAATCCCACAAAATGTGAGTTTTGTGCAGTAATCCGATTTTTTTTCACGAAAAAGGAGAAACTGCTGCTAAAATTCATGGCCAACTTGTTTCTGTTTACAGCAAAGATGTTATGAACAGGCAGAATGTAGCAAAATGGTGTTATGAAATTGAAGCAGGAAGAAGTGATATAAATATCATCATAAATGATGAAATGAGCGGAAGGCCATCCATTGTCACTGATGAAATCATCCAAAAAACTGATGAAAACCTTTGTGCTGAAAGACGTTTAACCATTGATGAACTTCATCAACAGTGTTCAGAAGCGTCAAGAACGGTTCTCCATGAAATTGTTACAAAAAGATTAGGCTATCGGAAACTGTGCGCATGTTGGGTGCCAAAAATGTTGACAGATGATCACAAAAAAAATAGAGTGGCTGTGACGCAGGCATTCCTCGCACATTATGAGGATCAAAGTGGCAACTTTCTGGACTGTATTGTGATGGGAGCTGAAACTTGGATATCTCATCACACACCTGAGAATAAGCTACAATAAATGCAATGGCACCACACACACTCACCAACAGTGAAAACGTTCGAAACCTCACCATCAGACTGACAAATCATGGCAACCACCTCAGGGGACAGGAAGGGGCCACTTCTCATCAATTTTTTGCCTTGAAGGCAACACCATCAGTGCTGCTGCTTACTGTGAGATGCTGAAGAAACTGTGTTGGGCTATTCAAGACAAATGGAGATGAATGCTGACATGAGGAGTCTGCTTACTGCACGATAACGCCCATCCACACACTGCTGATGCCACGCAGGAGTTGTTTCAGTTTTTGAAGTGGGAAGTATTGGCCCATCCACCACACATCGCAGACCTTGCACCAAGCAACTATCACTTGTTTTCTAAATTGAAGGAAATTCTGGCTAGAAAGATTTTTTTCAGATGATGATGAAGTTCTAGACGTGGTGATGACACGGCTAAGAGAGCAGGCGGGAGATTTCTATGACACTGGAATAAAAAAACTCATTCCCAGGCTCAGTAAGTGCATTGAAATCGAGGGTGACTATGTTGAAAAGTAAATAAATGTGTACCGTGGAAGTGCTACCAGTGAATCCCAAAGAAGAAAAATGCTTTACAAATATTTTCTGGACTTTGTATCTTTGCTTCCAAATAACCTTCATGTAATTTAGCATACTTACAAGTGGGTCTACTTTGTTTGTTGTTGGTGCAGCAAATATTGAAGGAACTTCTCTTGTAAAAAGTGACTGTGACTACAAGAGGTTATGTCATCACAAACCTTCAATTTCTGAGCTTAGATAATCATAAAGATATCAGGAATGTTGAATTATTCCTTGTTACTTTTGCAGCTATATCATAACCTCTTTAGACAACATGAACTCAATTATGTAATTATCTCAAAAACCAGAAGACTTACGGTGAAAGTGCATTTGGACATACACCCCACAGCTTATGTTTGAGTCAGTACTTATTTTGATAAATATCTAGTGAGGTATGCATAAGATGTGCCTGGTAACACATGTTGATCATCATTGTTGTCCAATTTTAACCAAAATTCACTTGTGTTTATAGTCTGTAGTAAAATTTACCAGTACCAAACTTGGTGAAAACGAGTGTAGCAGTTCTCAAGTTACAGCAGACAGACTAACAGACACAGGACAGACAAACACAGTGAAGTTGATTCTAAAGTGTTGTGGCTATGGTGTATAACACTCAGGATTATCAAGTTTTTTAACTTTACCCATTGTCCAGTATTCTGAAGAACACAACATTTCTGAAACTGGATCTGGCCCAATGATTGATGTTAGATCTTTCTAATAGACCAAGCACAATGGGGTCCCTCTACCCTTTCACATGAGGATTGGAACAGATCCAGTTTCTGAACATTGTGCTCTTTAGAACACCAGACAATGGATGAAGTCCAAAAACTCAATAATCCAGAAACATGGAGAAGCTAATATGCTACTTTTTGTACCTTTTTATTGCAAATGTATGAGAGGAATAAATATTACCATACATGCTTTATTTTTATTGAACTTTAGTGCCATCTATATGCAATTAAAAGTTATGGGACACATTTGAAGATTATGTATTTGAAACATTTTTGGGAAATACAGGTACCCATTATGGTGAAATTTTTTGTGAACTTTATAAATCAGACTTTGACTATATTAATGATACATATCTGATTGAGCATGTATATTTTCATCCATTGAAAGAATTATTATTTTCACGATTTCATACGTAGCCTTTACTTGCAGGAAAATTACCCAGTATTCACCTTCAGAATCTGCAAAAGTGTATGAGAAGACTGTGAATCGCCGCAGTAATTCCTCTTTTGATCCAAAAGCAACATTACAGAAGCTTCGGCAAGGCTCTCCTGCAAGTGTTTTGGATGAAACTGCAAGAAGAGCGTTAATAGAACAATACTTGGATGTAAGTACATATTATTTGAATAAATAACCATCATGCAGCAAACGGTAGTGATTAGAATGAAACTTACATGCCAGTATATAGTAATGGAAACTGCTTGCTCCAGAAACATCTCCTTTATTTATGTAAGATATCTGATGTCACAAGGGGACTTGGAAGTGGATTTGATTTCCAGCAGAGGCATTCCTAATTGTAATTTTTCCAGGATGGATTTTGGATCTACCCAGCATATACTGTGTCAGAGTTAAGACTAGAGGACACTCAGTTAATTTCACAGTACAGCTAATTCTGCAGTACCTAGAACTTGATTTTTCTCAGTGTTTGGGCTAGTGCAAATAAGTATTTAGAGGGCAGTACTTAATTGAACATAATTTTAAAAAAATCCACAGGTGATTAATTAGCAAACAAAGCTGGAAGTCACTGATTCTAGAACAGCTGCAGCTGCTGCTTCTTAAATGCTTATAGGATGGTATGGCAAAACTTTATTTTTTTTAATTTGCTTGCAAACTAATTGCATTCAGCATACATTATGAGTCACCAGGTCTTTAAGAGAAGCTTGAAAAAAGAAGTTCAGATTTCTGAGAAGGGTCTCTCAAGCCAAAGGGACCATCCTGGGAAAATTTTACGGAAATTTGCAAACATGAAATAGTTCACGGTTATGAAGCTCAAGGAAAAATATTTGATTTTCTTCTAGTTCAAGCAGCTTATGTTGAAGTTTGACCCAGATGATCCAGATGATGATGAACCCAGTGGGCCACCACCAAAAGTCACAATCAAATTAGGAGGGGATGATATGCGACCATCTGAGCCAGCTGATGCTGGATGTGATCAAGGCATACCTGATAAATCTAGGCAACACATGCAACATGAACAGCAGAAGGTGAAACAGCAATTTATTTTTCTGCATATGTCAATTTTACAAAATCATGTTTTGGAAGTGGCTGCTTTTTGAAAGAAGAGATTTGTTTGTACCTGTCATTCCTTTTTGTAAAAGTGTGCTTACAGTCTAATTGATAGCTCTTGCATTTACCTGAATATAAGAGAAGTCTGTTTGTCTGTCTGTCTGTTTGTGATTTATGGTTTTTTAACAATGCTCTCAGTACCTCATCTTATATAGTATCAAATGATAGGCTGATTAGTGAATAGCAAATTAGAAAGGATGTGAAAGACAGTGGTCAAGGCCTAATGTGAATAATATTCCTATATTTACCTGGAGTAATTGAGGAAAATGGTGAGAAGCCTTAGTACTGCTGGCGAGATTTGAGTCTGTGATCACCCAGATATGAAGTGGGAATTGCTACCCACTTCACTACTTCAGTCAGTAAGAGAAGTTGCCACTGTGCGGAGCGTTTACACATCCAAAATGCAAAGCAAAGCTCATTAGTGGTGCTGGTAGCATTGCTATCTGTATTGCATGCAGGCAATCCTATGTTGTATACTCTAATAGTTATTGCCTGCTGTTTGTAATATGTATGTCAAAACAAATTCACCAATGATAAAATGCAACACTGAAGACTGAGCATATCGAGTGTAGATTTGAATTTTTTCCACAGCTTTTACAGCAATTATAACCAGGATTCTATAGTTGGGAATCTCTCCAGTATTGAGATTGCTTTCCAAAACTTCTTTTCATGGCCTCAGTTTGTTTGTTATCTTCTCTCCACTCTTGTGTTTCTCATCATTCCCATTCTGGGTGTGCATTTGTTTGCTCTAGCAGTCATGGGCTTGTTTATAACCATTGTTCATGGACATTATTGTATCCTGGATTGCCTAGATGGGGTTGTCTTCCTCCTTCTGAACTGCGATATCATTTTCAGTTGCAATTTCGCTCCTGAATCTACCTCCTTATAACTGTCAGCTGTAACTGAGGCTTGGATTTATTCTCAGAGCCCTACTTATATTGTGAATGATACCGTATATGATTTCATGAACATGTGCACTTGTTTCTAGTGGAAGATAATACAAAAGTTAATTCCATTATGAGTGTTTCTTACAGTGTATTATGCCTTGGTCCATTAATAGGTAGTAGCTTTGTGTTTACTGGTACAAGCAGAACGTAGCGTGCTCCAGATTTGAGGCCTTTAGCGGTTGTATGTTATGCATATATCAGTTTACCCCGTTCCAGTCATCGCATTTGGATAGAAATCTACAGCCAAGACGGCAGGTTTATAAATGCTTGCTGAGCCACTGAGCCCAAAAACGTGGTGCAACAAGGGCATAAATTTGAAAAGCAAACATTTTCAATTGTCCAATTCTGGGGCCAGCTTAACACTTTGCGGACCGGCAATTTAAATATTTAAATCACCCTGGGGGCCGGCATTTTTAAACCTACTGCCCTAACTTGTACACTGTTCACTTCAAAAATTAATATAAAATCTCCTAATTAATTTTATGAACTAAAATTTTTGGAGAACACTTACCAATGCTCCTAGAAGTGCTTGAGAGTGTGATTTTTCTGGAAACATTCCCCTTTGTGAAGTGGCATTACACAGAAGTTGCACCTGTAGACAGTCATACACCTTTTTTTTTGTGTACTGCACAAACACGGCATCACCTAGAAGGCTGCTTCCCGCTGTTAGTTTTCTCATTTCTGCTGAAGTGACATCCACCCACTTCAGCAACTTATAACTTCTGTCATTATGTTCACGGCGTTGGAGATAGTATCTGTTAGTTTCTTGATATAGCATGTCAAAGAAACTATCTCCAAAAACAGTTCCGCTACTTCAGACACTTGGGTTGGGTCCGATGGAATTTGCTTCACTCCTGGATTTCCAGTAAACTGTCCCAAAGCAGGCGTTTTGTCTACTTTTCCCCATGTGGCTGTCCCCACAGTGTTGCTACCCGCACCTTTTTTGGAGCTACTGTCACTTTCACTTTCACTGTCTGTGCCCACAAATTTTGTTCTCCCCTGCCACACTCACTATCAGATTGTGAGTCACTATCACTAGCAGAATCACAAGGGACGTCAGCTCTTCGGAGAACAAGTCAGATATTTCTTGTTCTCTGAGAAAACGCTTGGACCTTAACCTCTTCCAACCTTGATCCATTTTGCACTGGTAACTTCCTGCCTGCTGCATGCAGCTGGAAGATGAACAGGCATTTTCTTTTGGAGTGGGAAAGGAAAACAGTTTGGTCATAAACAGCGGGTTCATGTTACCGACTACAAAGCAAACATTCAAGAGGTCTATCACGCACCAGTCATGCGTCTGCCTGGCGCCAGTGCAAGGTATAGTGTGTTTCAACATAACTTGTCCTAAAATCATAATAATATGCCACCGGCCCGCCACGTATAAAAGCGCTGGGCATAAAAATGTGCCACCGGTCCGCAAAGAGTTAACATCGCTATAATACATGTCATTGAAAAGGTGGTAGCCTTCAACACCACACACTGAGTTCTAATCTGTCCATCATGGAAAGAACTGTTCTTGAAGTGAAAGGGTTTTCTGAGTATGGCAAGTTACACACATCACCTGTAAGTTTTCCATAATATGGAATTATACTGTGAAAATAACAAGTTACACTCACAGCTAATCCAAGTAATATGATACCCCACTTCATAAGTTTTTTGGATTACAAATCTTGAAAATTATTTTGCCCTTGAACCTGACTGATCAAATTGCAATGTTTTTACCTGGAACAAAATATTTCTGAAACTGTTTCTGTACATGTTCTGTCACGTCCTGTACTTTCTTTGTTCTTTTGATGGCCCAAATGCGGTCTTCTGTGGTATCATTTCCCACATGCATCAACCAAAATATCTGTAAAATGTGATCTCTAGACATTACATCACAAAAAAATTTTACCTATGTTGTCCACTCACTAGACTCTATTATTGTACCAGTTCACAAGAAGGGTGATAAAACTGACTGTAGTAATTATCGGGGGATATCACTGCTATCAACTTCATACAAAATTGTATCCAATATTCTTCTTTCAAGGTTAAGTCCATATATAGATCAAATTATTGGGTATCATCAGTGTGGGTTTCAATGTAACAGATCAACTACAGATCAGATCTTTTGCATTCCTCAGATATTGGAGAAAAAATGGGAGTATGATGAGACAGTACATCAGCTGTTCATAGACTTCAAGAAAGCGTATGATTCAGTTAGGAAGGAAGTATTGTACAATATTCTGATAAGAGTTTTGGATACCCATGAAACCAGTTAGGTTGATTAAAATGTGTTTAAACGAAACGTATGGTAAAGTCTGTTTAGGTAAACATTTGTCTGATAAATTTCCTATCCAGAATGGTCTAAAACAAGGAGATGCTTTATCGCCACTGCTTTTAAACTTTACTTTAGAATATGCCATTAGGAAGGTCCAGGGAAACCAGGTGGGACTGAAATTAAACGGGACACATCAGCTGTTGGCCTATACCGATGATGTAAATCTACTGGGTGATAATGTAAATACCATAAGGAAAAACTCACAAATTTTAATTGATGCAAGTAAAGAGGTTGGTCTAGAAGTAAACACTGAGAAAACTAAGTATATGTTGCTGTCTTGTCACCAAAATGCAGAGAAAAATCATGATATAAAGATAGGAAACAGATGTTTTGAANACGTAGACTAAGGGTGTTTGAGAACAGGGTGTTGAGAATATTTGGACCGAAGAGAGATGAAGTAACAGGAGGTCAGAGAAAACTGCATAATGAGGTGCTTCATCACTTGTACTCTTCTCCAAGTATAATTAGAATGATCAAGTCAAGGAGGATGAGGTGGGCAGGGCATGTAGCACGATTGGTGGAGAAGAGGACGCATATAGGATAATGGTGGGAAAGCCATAAGGAAAGAGACCACTGGGAGGACCAAGGTGTAGGTGGGTGGACAATATTAAAATGGATCGTAGAGAGATAGGATGGGATGGTATTGATTGGATTGATCTTGCTAAGGATAGGGACCAGTGGAGGGCTCTTGTGATCATGATAATGAACCTTCGGGTTCCATAAAATGCTGGGAAATTCTTGAGTAGCTGCAGAATTAGCAGCTCCTCCAGAAGCCCTCAGCTTCATGAGTAAGTAAATAAGTCCACTCACTAGACCAATAGTATCTTATGTCAGGTAATGGGATTAGGCCCATATTTATAATTAGACCTAAAAACACCTTCACTGCAGGAACTGACACAGGTCACCTACTCCAAATGGACCTCTGGCTAAGCTGAAGTTTTGAAGTTCTGTGTCTCACATACCTGTCTGTCCCTATAACAGTGTTATTCAATAGCTCATCATTGAAATATAAACTAAAATAATCCATGGGCTATATATATGTGTATGCCTTGGGTTTCTTGTCTCCCATTGTCATGTGTTCCCACACATCAATATGCACAGCACTTGTTTCACTCTCACTCTCACATTCTGACACTTCGCTGGTCAGTTCTTCAGTCGCACTTTCTCCTTCATTTTCCAAATCCATCTCATCATCAGAGTGTATATTGAGTTCTTAATTTAACATATCACTAATAAATTCTTCATCCTCAACACGCACGGAACTATATTTTCGTTTTCTCATGCATGAAGGCAGATGGCTGCCCAAACGTGAAGCCATGTTCCTAACACTACACAATAATATACATTTGTTCCACAAGGAGTTCAAATTATGCCTTCCAGATGGTAGAAGAAGGCAGACAAAACATTCATGGACCTGTTAGCACAGAATAAAGTAGCAAGAAATGACATATGATCGACATATGACTGGAGAAATGCAAAAGTAACTTCGTCAATTGTGTATCAACATTTGTCCATGGAAGCACTGTCACCATGTTAGTTATATATCATCATATGACCAGAAACGGTCAAGAGAAGATGTTGCAGTTGTTTTGAGCCATTTGTTTGAGAGACATCAGTCACAAAAGTTTAGCTTCATGCTGTCTTCTTTGGTCACCTTTCTTACAATATTGTATCTGTTTTGAAAAAATTGTAATCAAACATTCGAGGACTGATAGTTGTGGCTTAATTTCATAGTAATTTTGTCAGCCCTTTCAGAATTTGACATTATAGTGGAGTGTTGTTCGCACTGCTCTGGCACAAGCACTTGAACAGTTCCTGTTCTACTGCAGTCTCCTATCAAGCGACTTGTGTTTTCTTTAAAAAGTAGTACTTCCATATAGTTAAAGAAATGAAGGATGAAATTAGTTTTATTTTCTGTGTATATACATACACCAAAAGCTCAATTCAGGCCCTTTGTAATTTGGACTTCCTTCTTTTTTATGAGTATTTTATTAATAAAGAACAATGAGTTTTCCTGAACGAGAATTAATGATAACAGTTTTCATCTTATCAGCATAAAAATCTAGAAAACTACACTTATAGTGTTTAATATTTCCTGAAATTAATAGTTGTCTGCTTTTAAAGGGAACCCTTCCAACATATTAATAAAGATCTGTATTACTACACCTGTACACTGCTCTGAGATGAGACTGCTCTCCTATCATTAATCTGTGCAAGCAGACCCTTTGTTTTTCCATCATGTCCCACATATATTTGTTTACATGTAATTTGGACTTTTCTCTAACTCAAGACTACCCTTTCCCCCATGTGCCAATTAGAATTGTTTACATGTAATTTGGACTTTTTCTAACTCAGGCTGCCCTTTCCTCCATGTGCCAATTAGAATTTTTTACATGTAATTTGCACTTTTTCTAACTCAGGCTACCCTTTCCCCATGTGCCAAATAGAATTGTTTACATGTAATTTCCACTTTTCTCTAACTCAAACTACCCTTTCCCCCATATGCCAAATAGAATTATTTACATGTAATTTGCACTTTATCTAACTCAGACTACCCTTTCCCACATGTACCAAATAGAATTATTTATGTGTAATTTGCACTTTTCTCTAACTCAGACTACCCTTTCCCCCATGTGCCAAATAGAATTGTTTACATGTAATCTGCACTTTTTCTAACTCAGACTACCCTTTCTGCCATGTGCCAAATAGAATTGTTACATGTAATTTGGACTTTTCTCTAAGTCAGACTACCCTTTTCCCCTATTAGGCCAACTTAGAAAGGTGTGTGAGTGTGTGTGTAACAAATTAATTTTCTCTGTTAGGTACAGGAAATTCCTCAGAGAGTACCAAAGCTGACTATTGTACCTCCACGCCCACCAGAGGTGAAAGACACGCGACACCATCGGTCACATAAGACTCATAAACCTGAACGGCACAAAAAGCATAGGCATAAAAAGAAGAGGAAGATGGTTGAAGACAGTGAGGACAGTGGTAATGAATATAGTGATCCAGAATTCCTTGTGTAAGTTGTGTATTATTTGAGTAAATGAACAGTGCGTAATATGAACCAGGTTCTTTGAAGTGTTGGTGCATTGGTGCTGGAACAAAGAAAGAAATAGACCTATATGGAATGTAACAGATTTTCCACTTACAGACACCGAAGTATTGGTTACTTCATATGTGCAATGGATTGTTCAATATTTATTTCTAGCACAAAATAAACAAAGCCCTTAATGTGAAAAGTAATTTATTTGAAGAAGGTATTATAAGACATGGAAAACAAGCATATAAACAGAATGAAGTGTTATCCGAGGTGTTATAGAGACCCTCCTGTGCATCATCACTTCCATGAAAGTAATCAAGAAATGTGTGTTTGGGCAACTTGAAATATTGCACAGCAAGTTTTCTCAGATGTACAAATCTTACTTTATAATGCTAAGCAATATAGTAGAGAAGTGTGGGCTAAACAACATATGGTAATGAAACTGAGTGGATCGAGTCTTTATACTTGTCTCGAAGACTCGGTATTTATTTTTAAAGCTTGCAAAAAAATTAATAATAAAAGTAACTTCTTTCTAGGAAAGAGAACAAATTTATAAAATTATGAAAGTCTGTATAGCTCCATGCACAGAGTTGTGACTGTTTTCTGTATGTTAATGTATATGAAAATGAAATCTAATAGCCTTAATGGCACCAAGAAATTTGTAAAGTAAACCATGTGTAATGTTAATGATCAAACAAGTTACATTGTGTTGAGACCACCATGGCTACAATGTTTTAAGCTTTGGTTTAGGTTTTATTGTTTTCTCAGATGTAATATGTATTCATTTCAATGGTCATCATCAGTGAACTGCAAAATGGACATGTTCAGAGGTCAAATGAGTTTGCTTTTTCAAGCATCTCATTTCTAATATATGCATTTCATAAAGACCCACAAAGAAAACACAGAGTTTTAAGTAGGGTGGTTTTAAATCAAATATAAATATTGATATTCATTAATTTATTTGTCATAACCTTTTTTCTATAAAAGCATTGCTGAAATAAAATTGTGTTAAAGTAATTATACATATGTACTTTTGTCATTTGTGGGATACCTCAGTCTTTAAACCTATCCATACAAATATAGGATGTGGAAGTAGAAATAATATTTTCTCAAATACTGTATCCTGATCCCCAGAGTGTTATGAGGTGTTGTGGGGATATGAGCAAATACATTTGTATAAAGAGGAGACTAAATAGAATGTGATATTAAACATTCATACATTTATGAAAAAGAAATGCAACAATTAATTCCATTACATCTGTACATTTATTTAATTGTGGATTGTATTTTTAAAAATGACGTTTGTTGCATGTTAGAAAAATGCAGTGTTTTGACATAATCTATTTTATTATTAAATGAAAATACCATCACATGTAAAATGAGGATGCACAGTGCAAGAAATGTCATTATGTAAGGGGATATGAAGAAAGATAATAACAAGGTCACCAGTCTGATATACAGTGAAAATTTGATGTCACATACTGCCTACAACATGAACTTTTATAAAAATATTATGTAATGAATCTTCATAATGTTAAATGCACAGAAGTCCTTCTGTAATGGTGAGTTGGTTGCCATTCATTTTTTCTTCTACCAATCTCCTATAGTTGCATTGCAAATGTAAAACACTCCAATTTCATGTTAATCTTCAAAATTACTTCTTTACATTAGCCATAACCTCCCACTATATTGTTGCTGTTATGTCATTCTGGAAGGTCATGCTAAATTAACTATGGCAACAGTTTTCATTGAGAGGTTATACAGGACTCAGCCATCAGTGTGGCAGGAATAAAAAGAAGATATTATCACAAGAGAAGTTTACTGTCTGATTTGGACAGCTGATGTAGGAGTTTGTCAGATATCAGAATACTCTCACAAAACATGCGCACATGCTGTGTAATCCATGCAGTCCTTGAAGGAAGAGATGGGTAATACAGATTTCATTATGCACATTTTCAGACATTCTTGTGAAATTATAAAAAGTGGGGTATCTTTCTCAATGCCCTAGTTTTAGAACTGTGTAGCTCAACTTCTTTGGTAACTTAGACTGTAGCTTTATTTTGGTCACTTTATGTAATGCCGTCTGAGAGAGACTTGAGCAGTCACAATAGCATTTGGATAATGCTCGGTCTCTTGTAGGATGTAGGTTAGCATTTTTGCTCCATTGCACCCTCTTCAGGCTCTGAGGGTACACATTTGAAATTGTACTATATACAATGCAGAGTTGATTTTTCTGACCCTTCCTCCCTTTATATATATGTGTGCAGGTGGAAATTGTGATATAATTTTAAACATAATTTCAGATGGAACAGAAAGAAAGGGCTTTTGTTGTGTTAAGTGTGATTTTTAAGCTTGTTTCAATTTTATTACTAATTGTACAGTCTTACATAACATAAATTGCAGTTCATTAACTGCCATCAGTGCAACATTCCTATCTGACTCACACTGTGAGTAAAGCTGGTGTTCAAGAGTTCATGCCATTGCAGATTGGAGTAATAATCGAAAGGGTGGAGGAAAGGAGTGAATAAAAGACATTTTCTCAGTCTCTTGTGTTCTTACTGATATTTCATACTTTATAGCCATTTTGCCATAAAACAGTATATAACATGCAACCCTCTGCACCCAGGAAAATACCATACTTTTGGCATTAATCACAGGACTGCATAATTGTTTCTGATTAAGAAACTAATTATGTTAATTCTCTTCTTAGGTTGTTATACCATGTGGTTATGGGCAATGTGGCCAATACTTCAGGGGGAAGCCAGTTTATCTTCAGCCATTTTCCAGTACTTGAAAGAGTAGACATCCATGGCATTCCATCAGATGTTGGTATACAAAATTTAATGCCAATGTTTGAAATGAGTTTGGTCTAATAAACAGATCATTAGCTAGATCATCATGCTGCCAAACACTATTTTCTCACATTGATTCCGTTGATAATTATGAATTAGGCTTTCTGCAAATTTTTGCTGAATATTATCATGAGTTAGTTATTATATGCAAGATTTGGATTGATTAGGCACTTATATAAGTCATAACTACAGCTACTTAGAATGCCCTTGCTAATTTGTGCACTCAGCTTCTCACTGCAGCACATACTATGTCTTCTCAGGCTACTTTGTTTTCACCAGTCATCGCTTGGTAATGAATCCCCAAAATGTTCTTTTACTCGTGTAATTATTGGCCTTCACCTTTTATAACAGGCCTTCATCACCTCTTGCTTTCATCCATATTGACCTCTAGCCTCCAAAAGAGGGCTACCAGTTGATTGAAAACCACCATGATTATCCTTCACTTGGGTTCCAATCCTATACTACTTCTGATACCAAGTTGTCAGATCATGGTGACTAGACATGGGGTGTGGATTGGTAATTGGATTTAGTGATCCTTTATAAAATGCACTCTTACAGATTTGTGCACTTGACACAACAGCGCACACTAACCCTTCTCAGGCTGCTATGTGTTCACTACTCAGTACCACTTGGTAACGTATCCTAGCAATGGCCTTTCCTGCTTATGTTGTTGCTGGCATTCAGCCATCTCGCAACTTGCAACTAGGCAGAGTTACTTTACAACTGGCAGTTTACCGCCAATCAGTTCATCTTGGCGCCAAGCCTCTTGTGGGTTACAATCAGTCTGTTTTTTGAGGGGGGGTGATTGAACCCTTATGGTCATAGTCCATGTGAAACATCCTCTCTGGCAAGGGGGATGGATTTGTCTTTCATGAATATGCTTCACCTTATCAAGTGTACATACTGCATATATAACATGTTATTGAAAGTTTTTCCTTTTACAAGTCCTTTCTCAGTCCAAGCTTTGCAAAGCAATCATGCCTATCTTATTTGTCTTATGCTGCAATGGCAGTTTAGTCACTTGAATGGTCATAAACTTGACCGCCACCAGGTGTAAAAGGTAAGGTAAAATTGTCCCTGTGCTTAACTAATTAAGCACTATTTCATGAAGATGGGGAGTGAATATATGAATCCAAATTTTCTTGACCTCGCCGCTAATTTGAGGTTAGTGGTCAGCTTCACACCTCACCACTTTACCCTTGGTACCCATTGTATAGAAGGCTGGGCAGGCCCCACAGCCAGTCTGGATGATGTGGAGAAGAGAAAATTCTTAACCCTATCAGGACTCAAACTCCAACACCTCGGTCATCCAGCCCATAGTCAGTCATATACTGAATGCTATCCTGGCTCCTGCCGGCAAGTGTAAGCCCCTTATACTTTCTGCCTAGCTTCACCATGTTCTATGTTGTGAACATGGTCATGCACATGATTTTGTATGATCTCTGCTTGTTGCCTGCACAATTTTGTTATATAATCATGTACATATGGAAGGTTGAAGGCCATGTGCAGATCACAGACTGGTGTGCACCTAGGAATATTTCCAGTAGTGCAGAGAACCTTGTTTTATGCGTGCTGCAATTTTAAGTGCTGGGTGACTGCAGCAAATTTCCAGGTGGGACAAGCATAAGTCATTACTGATCTAATCAGTGCTTTATGGAGGGGTAGTTTAATATTAAGTGCTTAAAAGCTCACTTTTGAATAGGAGTAGATTCTAGTAGATGTTCTGAAGGCCTTGGCTTCAGTCATTTCTATGTTCAGACTCCATGTAATCCTCTTATTGAAGATTACACTGAGATATTTTACACTACTGATGAAAGGAATATTCTGTCCATTCAATTTAAGATGAGCCTCAGGGTGCCTAAGTCTGTGAGAAGGGCAGATGGCCTGAGTCTTACATTCATCAAGTTTTATGTTCCAGTGCTCATACCACGTCTCAATAGCACTGAGACCTTGCTGCAACTTTCTGCAGTCTGCCACATATTTACAGGTGTCATCAGCAAGGAGACCTAGACAGGCATTAGATGTTTTGGCGTATCATTTATACTCACTCTTTGGTAGTCAGTATCTTTGGAACAAAATGACATGTAGTTACAATTCTTGCGCGGAGAGAGTCATTGTATGTGTTCGAAGTGACCATCATCAGCGGCTAAACAGCGTCAATGCCGTCGAACTGCTGAGCAAACTACGGCTGTCAGTGTGTCTGGTGTGATGGCTGCACATGATGCTTCGATGGTTTCTTGTAGCATGTTCAGTGTAGCTGGCATTTGTCGATAAACGTCATCCTTCAAGGTTCCCCATAGGTAGAAGTCGAGAGGTGTTAGGTCTGGAGACCGCGGTGGGTACTCAATAGCACCTCTTTGACCTATCCATTGTCCAGGTAGTGTGTCATCCAAGTACCCCCTGACATCTTGATGGTAGTAAGGTGGAGCACCATCTTTGCAGCCTTGAGAATTCGCCGTACACTTGATCGGCTTACCCCACTTTCGCGTGCACACTGATTCACAGATTTTTGTGGTGATTGTGTAAAGTGTTGCAGCACCACATCACTGGAAGCTGGACTTGTTACTGTCTATGGTCGCCCAGACCTTTGCTTATGCACATCATGAATAATACCATCAGATTCAAATTTATCCCAAATACAGGCAATTGTTCGACGTGTTGGTGGCTGAGTTTCAAACTCATTCTGCCGTTGTCATACCTCTTTAATGTTTTTGTACTTCCAGTACCACTTCAATATAGCCTTGCGTTGCACAAAGAACAACCTTTCAGCCATTGTTGCTGCTCTCTTCTGCTCGCAGTGCGCACGCGGCATGAAACTCACGTGACTCATGTGACCTTCGCCATCTGTTGAGAAATCATTACACTACACTACCACGCAAGAATTGTAACTACATGTCATTTTGTTTCAAAGACTATCAAAGAGTGAGTACATTTTTTTTAACCCCTCTATATAAGTGATATGCCGCTTTCTCCAAGCGGGTGTTGTCTACAGGTGCAAGTAGCTCTTGAACTCTTGTCTCCAACTGTCATTCAAAGATTTTGTTCCACAAGTTCTACCAAACAATCCGCATTCACATTGGCTTTGTCTTTCATGTGGTGTGCTATTGCTAAAGGACAATGAACAGCCTTTGGTCCTTTCATTTTCATAAGGAATTTTGCTGTAGGCGTGAGTTGTTACTTTACAGTTCTCTACTCTACTACAGTGCTTTCACTGTTGCATGCACATTACGATTCCAAGTCTTCACAGATCTCAACACAGAAAATAAAGCGGTCTCACTGGATCACACACTCCCAGTATTAGACACAAACACAGTCTTCAAATCACACTTTAAGTCTTCAGAGGTCTCCTACGAACTTCCTGTGGCTGTCTCCTATTGAGAACTGTCTTCCTTGTCTCTTAAACACTCTGAAATACTCTGAAACACTCCTTGGTTCAGGTCAAAGGCACATTGCGACTGGCAGTCAGTCAGTCAGTAAGTCTTAGTGTCAAACACCATCCAGGGCTCTTTACCAGATATTTATTACTGTTTGACAGTTACGGTCTTGTTTCTTGTGGGGCACCCTCTCTGACGTGAGGACAGGTCTGTCATTTGTACATACTGCTGGTCCTTGCCAGTACAGTCTTTCTCTGGTCCAAGTCCCTCGGGACTCGCGACCGTATTTTACTGCCTCACATTTGAGACTTCCCATTTCATCGCCACCTACGATTCGCAGGGTCACGGTGGAGGTATTTGACCCCTCCTTCACACCGGTTACTCCTTGATTATTTCTGGAATCTCGTATGGCCTCTGCACCGACCACGCACAGAAAGCGGCCTATATTGTTGAAACGTCTTTACCGAATGATTGCATAGTATCTGTTGCGGCACGCACTCCATAGAAAGCCAGTCACTGTTGCAGTGTACCATCATTGTGCCTGCACAGAAGTCTATTTACTGAACCATTATTTAAAAACCAGTTTATAATATAAGACAAATTTTAAAGGTGAATATAATTAGTTGTATTATAGTAACCAATTTACAATATAAGATAAAGGTAATAAAGAATACAAATAATAATATTTAGAACTTTAAAACAGTATAATCAAGTAAGATCTGTTATAACAGATAATTGAAATTATTTACAAAAAAGCTTTAGTCAACTAACATATTGGTTAAGATTTCAATATAATATAATTATGCAAGCATTATCTCATAAAAAATTCTTCTGATGTATAAAAAGAACTAAAATAGTCTAGTATTTATTTCAGAGTGAACTTTGTTTCAATAAAATATTCTTCTGTTTTTTACTACAAACATCAAGGTGTATATATATTATGTTCTTAAAGGATATATATTCATATCCTTAAAATGTCCTCTACATGAATCTCTAGAGCCACATCCTTTCATTATTCTTATAACTCTCTTTTGCAACTTGAAAACTCTTTCGGTATAAGATGAGTTACCCCAAAACATTATACCGTATGACATGACAGAATGAAAATATGAAAAATAACACTTTTTAATCTTTTCATGGAGACCATTTCTTTTGCATTTCTTATCATATAGCAGGCCATACTCAATCTTTTACTTATGTCTTGTATATGACCACCCCAAGTTATGTCATTTTGGATAGTCAGGCCAAGAAATTTTGTGTAATTAGCGCATGTTATAATAGTATCAAGATCTCCCATATCTCTATCACACCTAATTTTT